AGAGGAAGGTGAGAAGAAAAGTGATGTTGCAAAAGAATTTAAGATTTCTCTGAGTACTCTCTCAACCATAATAAAGCACAAGGAGAAAACTTATGCTGCTCAAACTGCTGGAGTACGGAAAAAACTACTAATGGTGAATTTTCTCGTCTGGAAGAAAGTTTGGTCATTTGGCTAAGACAGTGTAGAGGACAAAAAGTGTCTATTAGCTAAAACTTGTTGAAAGAAAAAGCAAAGGAGTTCGCGTCTACTCTAAGCATCAAAAACTTTGCGGCAAGTGAAGGGTAGCTTACAAATTTCAAAAAGAGAAATGGAGTTGTGTTTAAAAAAGTTTGTGGGGAAAGTGGAAGTGTTGATGATGCAGTTTGCTTAGATTGGTACGGTGAATTGAAGACCTGGATTAAAAACTATGATGCCCGAGACATTTTTAATACTGATGAAACTGGCCTATTTTTCAAATGTTTATCTTACGAGACGCTTACTTTTAAAGATAAAAAATTTCATGGGGGAAAACATTGTAAAGAGAGGTTGAAAGTTTTCAAAGGTGTGAAATCGTTTCGTACGGATTATCGTGCTAACAAAAAAGCTTGGATGACGATAGAACTTTTTAACAATTGGCTTTTAACAGTTAATGGGGACACGAAACGGCAAAAGTGAAAAATTTTAGTATTTTTGGACAATTGCATTATCCACAACAGTCCTCCTACATTGTCCAACGTGGAACTCTACTTCTTTCGCCAAATACAACTTCCAAATTGCAACCATTGGACCAAGGGATCATCCATAATTTGAAGACGTTATATTGAAAAGAAATTGTTAAGCTCATCTTAGAATCTCTCGACAAGCAGCTAACTGCAAATATCACGATTCTGACAGCTATTTTACTGATTGATAAGGCATGTAAGGTGTAACATACCTAACAATTCTCAACTGCTTCAAAAAATCCGGTTTCTTAAAAGAAGATTAGAAAAATCTTCCAATACTTATGGATGATGAAGAACCAGCAATAGAACCATTAGCTGACATCAGCGGTGTGAGTTTTTCTGACTTTGTTCAAGTGGATGAAGAAGTTGCTATTTTATCTGCGGCAGATACGAATGAAAAAAGTAACCATGAAGATGAGTACGATACATCAGAACCTTTAGCAGAGGTGTGTCAGTTAAGGAAGCAAGATCCTCATTCGATACCTTACAAACCTTATGTCTACAAAACGAAAGTGATGAAAAAGCATTTCAGGCACGTTTTATCTTAAAAAAAATTATTGAACAGCAATGTGCTTTGAAGAAACCAGTATAATACATTTTTTTCGAAAAGATTGATTAATTCACATTATGAATACATACATGTATGTACACACGTACCTCTTAACTTTTGTCATCGTTATAGAATAGCAGATAATCTCTTTATTTGTCTCTTTTAATTTCAACTCATTGTGGTATCTCTTTTTCCTTCTACCCAGAGCTTTCAATCTTCCTTGAACCATAGTAAGTTTTTACAAAAAGAAAAAGAAAATCAAATTATTAATGACAAATGTTAAATAATTCTGCTAATTTTATAGTACAATCCTCACAAGAGTAAGCCTGTTAAAGATATAACAACTTCATTGTTCTAATGTAGTTTTTTGTTTTAATTTTTAGTATGTTTTGATTCGCCACTTGTTATTTTATTCGTCTCATTATATTTCGTTCAAATAATGTCCATGCGGTTTACAGATTTTTGAGGCAATTTCCAAGTTTCACATCCATAGCTCACTATCATTCGGAACTTATTAAATATAATATTTTTTCTTCTATTAAAAATCGTATAAAACTTTCTTAGCCAACTTGCTCAGCTGATGCTTTCTTCAAACCTCCTTATCTTATATTTTAATCGCTAATATCGTTAATTTACATAAATTAAAATCTTAACTCGGATGTTGTTGACTTTCTAGTCACCTCTCATTTGCATATCTCCATAAATCAGTCGAAATTATAATAATATCGTCATCGTGTGAACTACGAACTGATCGGTGCAATATTAGCAACAGAACTAATATACTAGTTTATATTTAAAATATTTTTTTAATTGTTTTTAATAGTGATTTATGCAACAAGAGCATAATAATATGTGATAAAAGAGGTCGTCTGGCAGAGTGCTGCAATTCCATGAGTGAGATAAATTCATTAATAATAAACTATTTAAAAACATTTAAATATTTTTATTAGCAAAATTAAGAGAGTGTTTGAGGGAGAGACGAGAGAGAGAGTATTAAGTCATTGTTATGTAGACAGTGAACGTACTTGTTTGAGTGAACCAGTCCCCTTTGCTTTTTTTATTATACTGAAAATCCCTCTACATCTAATTGTCTATCTTGTAGGTCTTCCTTAACTTCTTGCAATAAATTTGATTTTGGTTTCCCATGTCTTTCTGCTTTCTGGTTTTCTTTTTTTAATTACATATGTCACTGCTTCATTTCCGGCTCACCAGAACTTAGCCATCTAATCCTATATAGCTTTGTTTTGGTTATAGCTTCTTCCAATTCATGCAGTTCTTTCAGTTCTTTCAGTTCTTTCAGTTCTTTCAGTTCTTTCAGTTCTTTAAGTTCTTTCAGTTCTTTCAGCAGTTCTTTCAGTTCTTTCAGTTCTTTCAGTTCTTTCAGCTCTTTCAGTTCTTTCAGTTCTTTCAGTTCTTTCAGTTCTTTCAGTTCTTTCAGTTCTTTCAGTTCTTTCAGTTCTTTCAGTTCTTTCAGTTCTTTCAGTTCTTTCAGTTCTTTCAGTTCTTTCAGTTCTTTCAGTTCTTTCAGTTCTTTCAGTTCTTTCAGTTCTTTCAGTTCTTTCAGTTCTTTCAGTTCTTTCAGTTCTTTCAGTTCTTTCAGTTCTTTCAGTTCTTTCAGTTCTTTCAGTTCTTTCAGTTCTTTCAGTTCTTTCAGTTCTTTCAGTTCTTTCAGTTCTTTCAGTTCTTTCAGTTCTTTCAGTTCTTTCAGTTCTTTCAGTTCTTTCAGTTCTTTCAGTTCTTTCAGTTCTTTCAGTTCTTTCAGTTCTTTCAGTTCTTTCAGTTCTTTCAGTTCTTTCAGTTCTTTCAGTTCTTTCAGTTCTTTCAGTTCTTTCAGTTCTTTCAGTTCTTTCAGTTCTTTCAGTTCTTTCAGTTCTTTCAGTTCTTTCAGTTCTTTCAGTTCTTTCAGTTCTTTCAGTTCTTTCAGTTCTTTCAGTTCTTTCAGTTCTTTCAGTTCTTTCAGTTCTTTCAGTTCTTTCAGTTCTTTCAGTTCTTTCAGTTCTTTCAGTTCTTTCAGTTCTTTCAGTTCTTTCAGTTCTTTCAGTTCTTTCAGTTCTTTCAGTTCTTTCAGTTCTTTCAGTTCTTTCAGTTCTTTCAGTTCTTTCAGTTCTTTCAGTTCTTTCAGTTCTTTCAGTTCTTTCAGTTCTTTCAGTTCTTTCAGTTCTTTCAGTTCTTTCAGTTCTTTCAGTTCTTTCAGTTCTTTCAGTTCTTTCAGTTCTTTCAGTTCTTTCAGTTCTTTCAGTTCTTTCAGTTCTTTCAGTTCTTTCAGTTCTTTCAGTTCTTTCAGTTCTTTCAGTTCTTTCAGTTCTTTCAGTTCTTTCAGTTCTTTCAGTTCTTTCAGTTCTTTCAGTTCTTTCAGTTCTTTCAGTTCTTTCAGTTCTTTCAGTTCTTTCAGTTCTTTCAGTTCTTTCAGTTCTTTCAGTTCTTTCAGTTCTTTCAGTTCTTTCAGTTCTTTCAGTTCTTTCAGTTCTTTCAGTTCTTTCAGTTCTTTCAGTTCTTTCAGTTCTTTCAGTTCTTTCAGTTCTTTCAGTTCTTTCAGTTCTTTCAGTTCTTTCAGTTCCCCCAGTTCTTTCAGTTCTTTCAGTTCTTTCAGTTCTTTCAGTTCTTTCAGTTCTTTCAGTTCTTTCAGTTCTTTCAGTTCTTTCAGTTCTTTCAGTTCTTTCAGTTCTTTCAGTTCTTTCAGTTCTTTCAGTTCTTTCAGTTCTTTCAGTTCTTTCAGTTCTTTCAGTTCTCCAGTTCTTTCAGTTCTTTCAGTTCTTTCAGTTCTTTCAGTTCTTTCAGTTCTTTCAGTTCTTTCAGTTCTTTCAGTTCTTTCAGTTCTTTCAGTTCTTTCAGTTCTTTCAGTTCTTTCAGTTCTTTCAGTTCTTTCAGTTCTTTCAGTTCTTTCAGTTCTTTCAGTTCTTTCAGTTCTTTCAGTTCTTTCAGTTCTTTCAGTTCTTTCAGTTCTTTCAGTTCTTTCAGTTCTTTCAGTTCTTTCAGTTCTTTCAGTTCTTTCAGTTCTTTCAGTTCTTTCAGTTCTTTCAGTTCTTTCAGTTCTTTCAGTTCTTTCAGTTCTTTCAGTTCTTTCAGTTCTTTCAGTTCTTTCAGTTCTTTCAGTTCTTTCAGTTCTTTCAGTTCTTTCAGTTCTTTCAGTTCTTTCAGTTCTTTCAGTTCTTTCAGTTCTTTCAGTTCTTTTAAGTTCTTTCAGTTCTTTCAGTTCTTTCAGTTCTTTCAGTTCTTTCAGTTCTTTCATTCTTTCAGTTCTTTCAGTTCTTTCAGTTCTTTCAGTTCTTTCAGTTCTTTCAGTTCTTTCAGTTCTTTCAGTTCTTTCAGTTCTTTCAGTTCTTTCAGTTCTTTCAGTTCTTTCAGTTCTTTCAGCTCTTTCAGTTCTTTCAATTCTTTCAGTTCTTTCAGTTCTTTCAGTTCTTTCAGTTCTTTCAGTTCTTTCAGTTCTTTCAGTTCTTTCAGTTCTTTCAGTTCTTTCAGTTCTTTCAGTTCTTTCAGTTCTTTTAGTTCTTTCAGTTCAGTTCAATAATTGAAAAGCATAGGACGTCATGGTTTGTCCTGCGTTATTCCATTGCCTGTTCCTTAAATTGTCTATATATTCTGACTTCCAGTTTATTGTTTGTTGTTTTGGTATACGCTTTTAATTGTTTTTTATGATATTCAATAAAAATTTTTGTGTTATAAAAAAAATTTATTAGTAAATTGATTTTATGTTAATTTTAAACTTTTATATAGAAAATGGTCTAAAAAAATGTTTTTTTTTACAGATTATATGTCTCATATTAGTGCATCTCACTCAAAAATGAAGAATATGAAATCCGCTCACTGACCAACTGAAAATGGCGCTCCTAAATTATTCCTCCCCGTTTATAGCAACCCCTAATCCCCCAACGAGTTACTACCACCAAGCCCCTCCATATCAACCTTACCAACAACCCCACCAAGGGTACTCATACCCGCAACCCCAAAAACCCTTCCTAGGTGAAGAGTTTCCTAACAATCCATTTCTCCATGTGCCACAACAAGGCCAGCAAGGACAACTGCCAACTCAAAATAATGTTCCTCAAGGCCAACTACCTCCAAATAGTCCTCCTCAAGGTCAGGTTCCGAGAGGTCAGATTCCTTCGGCGCCAGGTCCGCCGAGATACACGAAAGTAGCCGATCTCACGAAGGCTAGTGTGCATCCGGTCATCGATTATGATTACGAAGAAGAAGAGGAGCATGTACACATACCCGTGACGCCGATACAGGGGCCGATATTTATTAAAAACGGAAGAGTGCCTGTGGTGCCGCTTTACTCACATCCGGTCCTGAGTAATGGGACATTTGTGCAGATTCCTGTAAGTAACCCTTAAAAATATATATATTTTAATAATTAGTTTTTACTTTTAAGAATATTTCCATAATATTATAGTTTATTGTAATGTTTGTAACAATTTAGTGGTAGATAGAAGTACTTTTGACATTTATATTTAAAATATATAAGTCGTAGAGCTCTTATGAATTCCTTATAATATAATCTAAGACAGGCCATTCACATTCCGACTTGTGGTACCACTTAGTAGGACTACTAGTTGGATGTTCGTGTGTTAGTGTGCATCCGGTCATCGATTATGATTACGAAGAAGAAGAGGAGCATGTACACATACCCGTGACGCCGATACAGGGGCCGATATTTATTAAAAACGGAAGAGTGCCTGTGGTGCCGCTTTACTCACATCCGGTCCTGAGTAATGGGACATTTGTGCAGATTCCTGTAAGTAACCCTTAAAAATATATATATTTTAATAAATAGTTTTTACTTTTAAGAATATTTCCATAATATTATAGTTTATTGTAATGTTTGTAACAATTTAGTGGTAGATAGAAGTACTTTTGACATTTATATTTAAAATATATAAGTCGTAGAGCTCTTATGAATTCCTTATAATATAATCTAAGACAGGCCATTCACATTCCGACTTGTGGTACCACTTAGTAGGACTACTAGTTGGATGTTCGTCTCCACTCACGCTCCGACTTTCTATCCAACTATCGGTCCAACTTTAGTTCTAGGTTGTTTTCACGATGGTGTACATCGCTTAACCAAAAAATGTATCGAATAAACACTACGCAAAATATAATAATATGATATGTATGTTTAAAAATTAGGTTTCGTTTCTCTAGTTATTTGTCTAGGGCTGAACTAATTAATTTTTTCAACTCTTGATTTTTATGACTTTTTAAGATGTAGGAAAAAATTATAGTTTTTAAAGATTTGTGTAGGTATAAAATCTATATTTTATTTGTTTTAAACTGGAGCTGGGATTTATTTTGTTGTGTGTGTGTGTCGTATATTTTTAATAGGAATAATTTTTCGTGCAATTGAAAGTTATTTTCTATTATTTTTTTGCGAACTAGGGATCTTTTGCTACAACTATGATTTAATTTTCATTGTTTGTTGATAATTCTTCCGTAGCCAATCCGGAGTATCGGAAATTTACCTGTATAGGAATGTCCGAAATAGATCTACAGAAAGGAAAATGATTTGCCTAACAAAAAGGTAATTTTCGTGCAATTGAAAGTTTATTTTCTATTAAATATTCGCGAACTAGAGATCTTTGCGTAAAGTATTTCATAGAAATCTCATACGTAACAGGTGCCGAAAGTCAACTGACTGAGGAAATTTTCGATCCAACCTGTGATCCGACTTCCAACTTCACCATTCACGCTCCGACTTCGTCGCCAGTCGGAAGTCGGATCTTCAAGTCGTCCCACTAGTCGTACCACTAGTTGTCCAACTAATCCAACTAGCCCACTCACGGTCCGATTTCAGATCCAACTGCAGAAGTTGGACCACTAGTCGTACCACAAGTCGGAACGTGAATGGCCGGCATAAGGGAGCTAAGTTTTTATGAAAATTTATAGAAAACAGAATGGACTTACCAATCGTAAAGTAATAAATAAAAAACCATAAAGAACTTAAGAAAAAAAAAATCAAATTTTTAATGGAACTTTTGAATTTTACGTTTGAAGTTTGTACGTGGTGACTCTGAGGACTTCTGATAGGACGAAACACGTATAAGCAAATAGTGAAAGCACTATACTGAAATCAAATCTTAACTACCTTTTCTGTATTTTCCTTTACTCACGTTTTGAATAGTGTTGCCCAAAATCGGTCTTGGTCTTGCAGTCTTGGTCTTGTTCTTGCGTTTTTGCAAGACCAAGACCAAGACCAAGACCGCCTAATTTTAGCAAGACCAAGACCAAGACTGACCTTGCAAGACTTAAGCAAGAACAAGACTAAGCCTGCGAGACTCTTGCGTCTTGCAGTTAGGATTGAGTGTCGTTTTAGCGAATATAGTAGTTCGGATATATGCTTAAAGACTCTATAAGACGCACAAAAATATGTAATAAAAATTTGAAAAACTGGACTTATGCGCATTACGAACAATACCATAAACATACATACCGAATCAAAATATTCATTAAAAAAAACACATTTGACACGTGCTCAGAGGTCATAATTACAATGTAAAAATAAAATATTTTGTACATTCTTTCCCAGCAGACGACTTCTTCGCTCTGGAATTAATTGTCCAGATTTTGATAAAAGATGAAAAATTTATTATTACACTTATATTAAAATTTTATTTAAATATTTAAATATTCATTTAAATAAATAAAATTGCACCAAACTAGAAGCTTTATCTTTAATGGTAAAATACGAAAGTATATTATTTAAAACTGTGAATTTTCTGTGTTGTCAGTTCGGCAATTGATTAAAGAAATTTTTAAATTCCTTTTATCACAGATAGTGTACCGAAAAGGTAACATAATATGTTTTGCGATTACTCGTATGTTGGTGTCATCAATGCCGACAAAAAATTACATTATTAAATAACGAAACCTATTGTTTATTATATAAAATATTGGAGCTGTTGCTTGATAGTCAAAATTCTGGTCAGCAAAATATTGTATGTCTTTTTAACAAAGGAGTTTGATATTTCAACTTTAAACGACTGCGGCTGGTTGTTATTATTTAGGCTGTTGGTATAATATTTTAAAGCAAAATATCACAATTGTTTTAAAGCAAAATATCACAATGATTTTTTTTCTGTATATTTACCATTTTGGAGGGATAGACGGTTATTGCAAAATGACCAACTTATATTTTTACAATTTTGCAAAAACCGTCTAAGCCGCTTTAAGTTATTTTTGTAATAAACTGTTTTTACTTATTTTGCTTTTGTACGTTTTTTAAGGAAGCCTGTAATTATTGAAATATAAAAATGTGAAAATAAAGCCTTATTTTCTATCAGTCAATTTTTTAAAGTAGGTAGATACATTATGCTCATTGACTCTGAACCATATATATGTGGCTTAAACTGTTATTGCAGAATACCATCTTTATAATTCTCGGTTTGTTATTCGGTACTTGGGGTATTAGATAGTACAGTGGCGCACGCAGAATTTTCCTGTGAGGAGGAAATTTTTTTATGCTACCTCCATTTCGAGTCATTAAAATTTGTGAGGAACAGTGTCGGAATAGTGCCCTGGGGTGGTTTAACCCCAAAACACCCCTGGGTGCGCCACTGAGATAGTAACGAACATAAAGTAACTAGTAGTAGTTACTTTTTCGACATCACTAAACTTCATTCCCAATTGAGCTTTTCTTTGAGTCTAATGTAATAATTATTGTTTTCCATCTAATCCTTGTTGTTCTCGGAGTGACAAGTTTACAATTTGACATAATAGATCAAGATTCAAATAGTTCTAGTCGGAGTAGTGAAGTTGGAGGTGTAGACGGAAAAAGCAAATTTGATGAGTTTTTCGAAATAATTCATGCATCCCAAATTGCTTTGTGTAAATTGTGCCTACATAGAAAGGTTGAAATGAAAATGAAAAACAGAAACACGTTAGGATTAAGGAAGCATCTAATATATTTTCACAAAAAGGAATTACAAATATTTCTTCCTGAAAATCCAAAATTCGGTGGATATATCACAAGCTTTTTAATAACCGCTGGAAAAAGTGGACATGTTAAAAAAATATACTTATTACCTTATTACCAATCACATATATTATGTACCTACTACTTTATTTGGGCAAATTAATGTATTTATTAAGTAGGTATCTCCTTAATTTAAAATAATTCTTTTGATTATCATTGCTTTTTTACCTATTCCTTATTTTTCAAGTTAGTATTTTATATAAAAGTAGAGCTAAGATTGTTAACAACATTTATTTTGCTTTAATAAGTGGATTATAGTTTGTTATCTGATCACCTAAAGAATCTGTGTCCTTGATACATGTGAATTTTTTGCCACATACCAATCTTTTTTAAGATTTTCATTTCATATATATTGGGGGGTCCATCAATTCCTTTCTAGAAAGATAATTTTCTTTAAAATACAGTTTATGTCATTAATTTGGGTTTTCTGTATTTTAACCATGTTTTAGCACATGTAAGCTTATGCAAACGCAAACGTTTATTAAGAAACAGATTGACTTCCGTAGGGAATAGTAGATAGCTGAGTTAGTTAGAGCATAGGCACGGATCGCTTAGATCGTGGCTTCAAACCCCACCGGGTGTCAGTTGTTTAGACATTTATTAATTTGGTTGGTCTTTATTATGGCTATGTTAATTCAAGCTTAAAATGTACTTACTCTGTTACGTTGTTCTAAGATCCAAAGTAAAATTGAATAAATAGCAATAGGCTAATGGGTAACTGCAAGACTTGCAAGACTCTTGCTGCAAGACCAAGACTAGGAGTGCAATACCAAGACCAAGACCAGGTGTATTGGTGCAAGACCAAGACCAAGACTGTCTAAGTCTCGTCTTGTTCTTGTATTTGGGCAAACACTAGTTTTGAGTATAAGAAATTAGTTCGCTAAAGGTTCCTGCCTAGATAAAGTGATATGTTGTGGAATGCAAATTTAGATTACTCATGTGAGTCGATTCATCGTCTGTTTTGCTTTGAAAATTGTAGAATGCACAAATTTGGACAATTATCTGAATTTTGGTTTCGAAAACTAAGAAATCTTCAGATTTCGACTTTTAATTTTTACAAATTTTACTGCGAAGCTTTTATTGCTCTTACAGTCGATGACTGTTCTCCTAGAAAGGTAATTATGTTCCTAGTACCGAGCATGGATTGAATCTATGTAATGGTGGAAGGTGGTATACCTTTTTATGTTTCAGCAACGTTAATAGACTTCAATTAGGTGTTATCAAATGCTCCCTCTATGGCTGTGAACCCACATAATGCCACTTCTTTTAAATCTTTTTCACGATCTTTGACTAGACAATGCTAAAATAATATTGTCGTCTCGGGGGAGTAAGACCTCTAAAATGACT